GAGAGGAGGGGGGGGTTGGTAGGACGTACGTCAGCGGGGACAATGTTGCGAGTCTGGATGATCTCGACGACGCCAGCAAGGCGCTCGCCGGACATCTTCGAGATCTCCTGGCAGAGCTTGCGCTTCTCGGGGCGAGTCATGGGCTTGTCGTTTGCGTCCTCTGTCCGCTTGCGCTTCTTGGACGATGCCGAGAGCGGAGCAAAGTCCTTCTCAAACGACTCTGCCAGCTCATCACAATGGGCAACAATCTCGGAAGAGGCCTGGTTGTACGAGCGGCAGTTGTGGAAGACCTGACGGACGTCAGCTGCAAACTCTGCCTCGGTCTGGTACCTGTTCAGCTCAAGCTTGCGACGAATAGTGCCCAGGTCCATGGGGTGCTTCACCACCGTAAAGTAGTCCGGGATGCCCAGCGCCTCAGCGTCCACAGGCTCGAGGAACGGGCCAGCCTTGGGATGCGACATAAGCCGCTCAAGAATCTCACGGCAAGCCGGGTCAAGGTCCTTGCCTCCCATGTTCGTAGACGAAGCCATGTTCCGTCTCACAGTGCAAGTCAACTGTGTCACACGCCCGCTATCCCCGTCCCCGTCCCGTGGCCTGGCGAGGGGAGGGGAGGAGGGGGCGGCGGGTGGTCGCCGGCTGGTCGCTCACTCGGCTGCTCGCACGGCCACTGCCTGTCGCACTGGATGCTAATGATGGTGGGCATGGCGAGCTGTGATGGGCGGGATTGGTGGTTGGATGGGAGGGGAGGAAGGGGGGGGGGGGGGGGTGGAGGGGATCATTGAGGAGGGAGCGATGTGGAGGGCGGTGATGGGGGAAGGTGGTGGGGGACGAGGCAAAGAGGTGGATTCTGCAGATGCACAAAGTTGGGCCAGCTGGGTGATGGCGATGGCAGAAACGGAAGGGGAGGGGGGAAGGGGAGGAGCGGAGGGGGAGATCAAAGACGAATAGCTTTTCCGATGATGTGCCTGCTCATGACGGGCCTGCTCATGACGGGCTTGCCCATGACGGGCTCGAGGCTGTCCATCGGGCTGAGGCCAATGCAGGAGCAGCAACCACCACCGTCTGCCCAGACACACATCGGTCCCTCCTGCCCGCCAGTCCATGTGTCCAACTCTCGTCTCTGCCCATGTCTGTCCTGATCAGCCCCTGGAGGCTCCTGATGGCGGCATCGAGGCTGTGGGCCGGGCGGACGACGGCGTGGCTGTGGGGATCCCAGGCGACGGACGAGGCGGTGGAGGGGAGGACGGGCGGGCGGAAGGTTAGGGCTCATCACACTTGTCGCAGACGAGGTTTAGGAAGAACAGCTTGTGGAGAGGTCATGTCGCGGCTGGCACGGTCTGTAGTGAGCGAGGTCATGCGTGCCGTCCGGGCACAGGCCGGCGGCGAGCAGACGAGCGGCGGGCGCCTCATTCTGGGCTTCCTGGCCGCCAACAGCGGGAAGATGGAAGCCAATGCTGAGGCGTGGAACACGATGGGCGAGCGGTACGCCGCGCTGCTGCATGGTGTCCGTGAGCATCGGGAGCTTGTCAAGCGCCATGGCGCCTCCATCGACTCGTCGCGCGAGGAGGATCTCCGCAAGATTGCCCACCGCGTCGGCCTCGAGCTGCCCGAGGTCTACCAGGACGGCGACATGGACTCGGCCGCAGAGGCTGATGCCTCTGATGCTGCCGCATCGGACGGCTCCAAGTGATCATCGCCCGACTTCCTCCGCCCGACTCCTCCGCCCGACTCGCCGCCATACTCGCCGCCAAACTCGCCGCCATACTCGCCGCCAAACTCGCCGCCAAACGCCCCGCTGTCTCCACAGACGACCGGCGTCTCGAGTTGCAGTGATGCTAGGAGGCACGACGAAATGCCCTGCCCCCTTGCTTGCGCTGAGCAGCAGCAGTCTGTGTTGGCCCACCGTTACCTCTGCCGCCGCCGCCGCTCCCCTAGCAGCCGCCCTCGAGTCGCCATCGCCATCGCCATCGCCATCGCCATCACCATCGCCGTCGCAATCGCAATCGCCATCGCCATCGTCTCCACCTTGTCACAGCAATCCCTACATCATCAATACAGCCAACGCCGAACAGCAGGCCGGCAGCTCGACCAGTCATCTGTCCCCGATCTGCCGTCGGCTCACCTTCCAACCACAGCGACGAGTCGGCGATGACTGCTGGCCGCACCCCCCCCACCCCTCTCTCCCTCTCCCTCTACCTCGTCAGCGATGACCTCCCTGCGGCGAGGCGACCGGACGAAGCGTGCGCAGAAGCACCAGAACCGATACGCATGGCGGCACAACAAGAACTCGAAGATGACCAAGAAGATCCTCTCTGCGCCCATTGTGGGCATGTGCTCCAGGTGCTACGAGATCATTGTGTGGCGCAAGAAGTACCGCAAGTACAAGCCGCTCTCACAGCCTGCAAAGTGGTATGTATTCTCCACAACACATGGCATGACATAGCCCTTGACCTCATCTACATTCTGCCCTTGTTTGTGACTCGCTAGCATGAGTATTGCTCGCTCTAGTGGTGATGGAAGCGCCGCCCCTTCCCCCTCGGCGGTGGCAGAGATGGATGGATGGCGGCTGTGGCCCGGCCCTGGCCGACGTTGTGCGGTGGTCGAGGCGGGCCACCATGGGCATGGTGAGCCATGGCGAGTTTTGCAAACTACTCACAGTGGTACATGGGCGATGGATGATGGCTAGTGAGGAGTGCGGAAAGCGGACGGTGAAGCATGCTTACCATCGGCTGTGCAAGGCGTGCAGCTGCAAGCGCAACTGCTGCGCCCGGTGCAAGTCGGACAAGGCCGAGATCGTGACCGAGGCCATGACTGAGGCCGAGATCAACGCACTCGAGCAGCGGGCGCAGGAGATCTTGAACACGCTTCCGGTCCGCAGGCGGAAGACCATCACCCGCCTCTTTGAGGCTGGCGAGATCACGCTCTCGGACATTGTTCAGGTCGCCGAGAAGAACACCGGCATCGACAGCGACAACTCCGGGGCTGACGACGAGAGCGACGATGGCAGCGACGACAGCGATAGCGCTGGCCCCGCCCGCAGCCTCACCGACACGCAGCTAGATCCCCTCGAGATGGAGAGCCGCCAGGCTGAAGCCATCATGCGGACTTTGCCACCGGCCAAGGCCAAGGCCGCCCGCAAGCTCTGGGAGCTGAAGCAGATCACGGTCTCGGAGCTCGCCAAGGTGGCCGAGAAGCACGCCGCCGAGGCTGCCGCCGCCAAGGCCGATGACAGCAACGGTACCACGCCGCCGCCGCCGTCATCATCGTCGTAGCCGCCGTGCTGCCGCCGAAACCTCCTCACCGGCCGCGCTCGTCATCACCCTGCATATTTACTCGTGGGCCTCGCACTTGATAACGCCCGAGCCCAGGGTGCCGCGGCCAAGGAAGAGCGCTCCGCCGGCGGTGACGACGTGGACGACGACCGGACGGCTGAGCACGTCGTGCAGCGCGCCGTCGACGTCGAGCGAGACATCGACGCCTGCTGCGCCCGGGCCGAGCTGTGCCACGACCGAGACCGTCATGCCAGGCCCGTAGCCGTCGCCGGCATCGTCGTACCAGGTTCCGTGCGCAGCGCCGGCGACGTCGAGCGCCGCGGCAAACTCGACGCCGTCAACAGCCGGCTCGCGGAAGGCGGTCGACGCCATGACCGGGCCCAGCGGAACAATGAAGCCTGGACGAAGGTAGAGCTGCGGGAGATGGCCTGCGCCGCGGATCGGCGCTGCACCGTGAGCGAGCGGGCGCGGGCCGGCCTTGGGTAGCGTGGCCGCATCAACCTCGCGCGGGGTGCGCTCGGCAAGCAGCTTGAGCGACGGCCACGAGACGCCGGCCGAGAACGAGCCATCGACGAGCTTGCACCGGAGCTCGTCCGGCGTGATCCGCGCCGCGGTCTCGGCCGAGAGCGCTGCGTCCGGATCGGCGGTCGCCGGTGGCGTCGTGTCGCAGAGCACAAGGACCGGGCCGACAAGATACGCGTCCTCGATGGTGCGGAGCTCGGGGGCGCCCGGATCGAGCGAGAAGATCGGCGTCATGACCCCGCGCCCGTGGCTCGCCGCCCCGTGGAAGAGCGTGTACAGGTGCGGAAGGAGGCGGTAGCGGAGTGCAAGCGCCAAACGCGCCGTCTCGGCCACAGCGTCGCCAAAGGCCCACGGCTCGTGCGGCGGCGTTTCGGTCATGGTGTGGCCGCGCGCAAAGGGAAAGAGCGCACAGATCGAGATCCACCGCGCAAAGAGCTCCGGGCTCGCCGTCCCAATGAACCCGCCGATGTCCGGCCCGCAGAACGCTTGCCCGGCGAGCGAGAGGTTGAGGCACATGGCGATGCACTCGTGGAGTCCGTCCCATGACGACACGTTGTCTCCGGTCCACGTCGCCGCGTACCGGTGGCCGCCGAGCATGTTAGCCCGTGTGAGGAGGAACGGCCGGAGGTCTGGGCGAGCGGCGGTGATGCCCTCGCGCGACGCCGCCACCATGGCAAGGCCGTACGCGTTGTGGTACTGGGCATGTGGGCCGGGTCCGCCGTAGGCGCCATCGGCGGCGTGCCACACCTCCTCGGGCAGCGTCTTGGAGGCGACGTCAAAGATGGCCGGCTCGTTCATGTCGTTCCACACGCCGTCGGCGCCGGCCACAGTCTCGTTGAGGAACTTGTTGTAGAGGCCTGCCCACCATTGCCTCGCATCGGCCTTGAAAAAGTCCGGAAAGACGCAAGTGCCTGGCCAGACCCGTCCAGTCGCGAGCTCGTCGCTCTCCTTGCCGGCGCTGATAAAGGCGCCGGCGGCCTTGCCGCTCTCGTACACCTCGTAGCCGTCGATCTTGGCCACGCCTGGATCGATCATCCACACGGAGCGGAAGCCGAGTGCATGGAGCTCGTCGTTGAGGCCAGCCGGCTCCGGGAACTTGTCGCCGTCGACAGTAAAGACCTTGAACGCGTCCATGTAGTCGATGTCGAGCCAGACGACGTCGCATGGGATATTCGTCGCCCGGAACTTGGCGGCAAGCTCCGAGACCGCGTCCTGTGGGTAGTACGAGTATCTGCACTGCTGGTAGCCGAGCGCCCACAGCGGTGGGAGCGGGATCCGCCCGGTGTATGCCGTCAGCGCCGAGAGAACCGTGTCGAGCGCCGGCGCTGCGGGCGTGCCGTCCACAAACGGAATGAGGAGGACTCGCGGCGGGCGGACCGAGGCCGGCGAGAAGACCGCAAAGCGGAGCGCGCCCTCGTTCGAGGCGTCGATCGAGACCCGGAATGTGGTGTCGAGGAAGACCGCGCCCATCGAGCCGTCGGCGAGGACAATGAGGACGTAGGGGAAGGTCTGGTACAGCGGCTGCTCCCTGTTGTGGCCAAAGTTGTCTGTCGGCCACGCCATGTTTGCCGTACCGGTCCGCAGCAGTGGGCCATGCGTCTCGCCCATGCCATAGACGGCGGCGCCGTCTGGAAGAGCCACATGCACGATCCGCCGGTCGTCCAGCACCGTCTCGCGGATCTGGAGCAGCTTGATGGCGGCCATCTCCTCCGGCACCAGCACCGAGCCGTCGACGCCGGCAGCCATCTCCGCACCTGGGCCATGCCCAGCCACCGGCGGGCAGGTGTAGACATCGTCGCCGTCGCGGAGGAGCGCAAGGACTCGCGCCGGGCCAAAGTAGCCACCGCGGCCACCGCGAGCCGATCGGGCGGCAACAGGCGAGGCAGCAAGGCCACCACGGGCAAGAGCAGTGACCGGCAGATCAGACACAGCCGCAGTCGCCTTGGCCCTATCCAGCGCGTGGCGGGTGACCACCGTGGCGTGCGAGTCCCACGCCTGCGGGACATGCCAGGCGCCCGGGCCGGCGCCACGGAAGCCATGGGTAAAGGCAGCAGCACGGAGACGGGCCGCACGGAGAGCATACCCGGCAGCTGCAAGAGCCAGGGGTGCAAGGAACGCTGCTGCGGAGCGGTGGGAGAGCATGGCAGAGAGAGAAGCGTGG